CATTTCGTTCGTCATACATCCTATCATAAAAGTCCAAAGGAACAATATTTTAACATTTTTAATATTTCCAAACGGCATGTATTATGTAATTTTAACATAAAATTTGTGTTTCGTTTGGCTCCGAAATTTCGGAAAAAAATTCATGGTAGGCCCTCTGATCCCCGGGGAAGCCGAGACTGTTTGTGTTTGCGACCGTCATTCAGTATAGATTCACAATTACCAACTTCTTAATACAGTATATTTAATTTACTTCCTACTATTATTTTAAGTGTAAAGCTTTTTAAAGATATTTTTTTATGTAACCTCACCTGATGGAAAGTGGTTACCGTCGCCTATAGACATGAACAGTGACATGGACATAACAGAGTATACTGTTTCGCCCATGATACCCTCCATGCGTTGCCGTTCCTGAGGACTCAGGTGTTATTCCTCTGTACCCAGTAAATTCACGCCATATCCCACCCTTCAAACCGAAACACAGCCATGCAAACACAATTGCTTCACGGTAGAAACACGAATGGGACAGAGGTGCCCAAGCAAATGGCTTTTGTATAAAAGTCGTTATTATCATTATCATCATATCAGCCTTTAAATGTCCACTGCTGCCCATTCCTTGCCCTTCCGTATAGTATTATGATATCTGTGCCCTTTCTTATTCGGCCATATATATATATATAATTTTTTTTTTACAGTACAGGGGGCAAACGAGCATGCGGCTCACCTGATGGTAAGTGACTACCGCCGCCCATGATCACCCACAACACCAGCGGCATTGCAGGTGTGCTGCCGACCTTCTAAAAACGAATATGCTCTTTTCTTGAAGGTTATGTTGTCGTATCGGTTCGGAAATACTGCTGCTGGAATATATATATAATTATAATATATAATATATCTAAGTAACAATTTGATAACAGATAGAAGGCGAATAGAAATTATAATGTTTAAGTAATACTGTATTTTCCGTGAAATATGATTTACTAAGGTTCTGTTTACCTTTAATCTTCTTGACAATGGTTTCAACTATACTTGTGTGATAACATCAGGTGAAAATGATAACAATTGGAAATCCAATAATATATATTCATGATACTGTGGGTAAGGCAATCAAGCTTACGCCCCGTCGTATGATATGAAAGTTAGTTAATAGGACTAACTATCCTGATAACTAAAATTAGAGTTAGGACTAGAATTAGGATAATTCCAGGATTAGAGATAAATTATGATTGATTGAGTCGTATATAAAAATGTGATTAAAACATATCGAAAAATTTAATATTATTGCGTTAACAATTGCCATTGAATAATAAAACGTATAAATACCTCTATAATTATTTATCAGAGGAAGACTTTGTACAAAAGTCGTTTGCTTGGGTCCTCTGTCCTATTCGTGTTTCAACTGTGAAGCAGTTGTGTTTGCATGGCTGTGTTTCGGTTTGAAAGGTGGGATATGGCGTGAATTTACAGGGTACAGAGGAATAACACCTATGGTAATGCATGGGGGGTATCATGGGCGCAACTGTATACTCTGTTATGTCCATGGTGCTGATCATGTCTATAGACGACGGTTACCACTTTCCATCAGGTGGGCCGTCAGCTGGTTTGCCATTCTAAGTTGTATATATATATATATATATATATATATATATATATATATATATATATATATATATATATATATATATATATATATATATATAAATTTTCCATTTATAATATTACTAGAATTAATATTTACCTTTTCCACTTTTCACTTCTGGGAAATTCGGAATTATTTATATAAAATTTATTAATCAAACATCTCGATTTGGAACTACGCCGGAGGTTTCACAAGTATCCATTTCTTAGTGAGTGCTTCAATAAATAGAATGAAATAAACTTTAAATCTTCAAAACTGAAGTTTCAGTATAAATTTGTAGGGAGCCAGTTCTAACTAAATAAGGCATTGTACACAGCCCTGGGCCTTATATTGAAACGCCGAAATACACTGGCTCATGTTAACACATATTAGAGAATCAGAGAATATAGTTTTTTTTTATACAACTTAGAATGGCAAACAAGCTGACGGCCCACCTGATGGAAAGTGCTAACCGTCGCCTATAGACATGTGCAGTACCATGGACATAACAGAGTATACTGTTTCGCCCATGATACCCTCCATGCGTTGCCATTCCTGAGGTGTTATTCCTCTGTACCCAGTAATTTCACGCTATATCCCACCCTTCAAACCGAAACACAGCCATGCAAACATAACTGCTTCACGGTTGAAACATGAATGAGACAGATGTACCCAAGCAATCGACTTTTGTACAACTTATGTATTTTGTTTATACGCAGATATAAATGCGAGAGTAAATTGATATAGGTACTGGGAGCGGAGCGGTTGCTCACGTAATCCTGGAATGTGAGGCTGTGACCCATCAACGTTTAGAAATCCTCGGAACGGTGAGATCGCTCCGTGAGGCCTGTAAAGAACCCAGGAAACTTCTGCGCTTCTGGGCGGAGCTAGGTTGGCTGTACTAATCACAACTCATACGCACAATGGCCCAAGTGAGAGGCTAAGCGCGGAAAATAGAGTCTTTTTCACATTCACATCCAGGTACTGGGAAGGTCTGGAATGACCCATTGTGATTAGATAAACTGTGTTCTATCTGAGGGAGTAGTCAAGACACTCCGAAGTCGAAGTGCATGCATGAAACCAGCTATGAAAGTGCAGGAAGCAAGTGCAAGAGGTATTTGGTATTAGAATCCAGATCATGATGAGTGCAGATCAGACGGTAGAACTCATGTATTACACACGGAGTTTTTCTTGTATATATATATCGTCATAGTCGTAGAATACTGACGGATCTATATACGTAATATTTGTCAGACCCGTCAGTATTCTACGGCTATGACGATATTGCTATTTTTTTGCTCGGTACTTTATGCGCGTGGATTTCAGAAGAAGACGACCAATGAAATACTTCTACACTTCTAGATGGCGTATCCTATATGGTCACATTCAGTAAGGTATCAAGGTTTTCTTCCGCGAACGCTAATGCTGTGGAATAAGCTCCCTGCCGCGGTTTTCTTTAAAGACACTGTGTATAGAAGAAACGAGGGTGGGCAACGCGCACGTGACAGCCCTAGTGTTGCAGGCGTCCATAGGCTACAGTGACCGTTTACCATTAGACGGGCTGTATGCTTGTTTGCTACCTCTGTGGTTCATAAAAAAGCGTATAAAGATAAAACATATACCAGTTTTTAAGTTAGACCTTCAGAAATACAGCAGTGAAAACTGCATCCAATTTGGTGTAGTAGTCTTTGTGTGATACCGGAACAAATATACAGACAGACAGACAAAATTTCTAAAATTGTTGTTTTGGTTTCTACCTCTCTTCTTAAGACCACTTATGTAAATTTTTTTTAATATCTCCCATGTAGAGAATTCGTTTAGTTACAATTTTTTATATAAGTATGATAAGATTATTATTTTTTGTAATATATACCAGTATTTATGCATTAATGTCCAACGTGGGAGTCGAACTCATGATACTGGGAAACATCATTATCATCTCAGTCATTATCCGTCCACTGTTGGACATAGGCCTCCCCCAAAGACTGCCATAAGGAAAGATCCTGAGCCACCTGCATCCATTGACGTCTTACAATGCATTTGAGGTGGTCACTCCATCTAGTGGGGGATCGTTCTACACTGAATTTGCCCGTACGGAGTCGCCACTCAAGAATCTTTCTTCTTCATCTGTTATTAATTCTTCAGGCTATGTCGATAACTTGGTATACGTATAAAATTTCTTTGGACTCGTTTATGTTCGTTGCTTTACAGCGAACGAATCGAATTCTAATACTTATTTGCTTACGATCTATCAAAAAGTTTTTTTGATAAATTATTCAATATTTTTGTACGTATAAATAAGTTATTTTTAACTTTCGCTTTTAGTCCCGAGTAATCATATTTAATGTATGAAAATTTAATATAGTTTTTCGGGTTTTGATATGAATTATTTAAAGGAACATAAAGCACTTACCTCACTTGATGTTTGGACTGTATTTTCTACTATAGCCAGTTATCTAGTTTACTAGAGGTCACTGTGCAGATTAAGCTTAATTTATTATTTTAAATTATATAATATTTTGAGATCTGACCTTGTTATATTATTACACATAAAAATGTATTTATGATGTAATTAATTTAATTTTGACTGTTTAAAATGCTCCTTTCCACTTTGGGTGTTGCTGGAAAAAAAACTCTATTAGAGTTAAGCTCGCCTTTGTACACTTGATTACCTTTGTATAATAAGACCTTTGTATAACTTGTATGTACAATAAAAAATATATTAATTTGATAGAAAACACACTAACTAGTTTTGGCCTGTGACTACGCTTGCCTATGTTATTTGATTTCTTGCGAATTTTATTTTAAACAATGAGCCTGAATTTAAAATTTCAAATGTCTAACTACTACAAACTTTAAATCCCCCTTTTTCCCCATTTAGAGGTTTATTTTTAATATTCATTTCTTATTGTTCATACATATTATATAAATAACCTACGTCCAAAATTTTAAGTGTCTAGATTTAGTGGTTTCGACTGTGCGTTGCTATATGGGTCAGTAAGACTGAGTGACTTGATTGAGTGACTGCAGTCAACATCCTTTTTCATAGTTTGATTTTTGATTTTTGATTGGTATTGCAGGCGTTCATAGGCTACGGTAACCGCTTACCATCAGGTGGGCCGTATGCTTGTTTGCCACCTCAGTGGTATAAAAAAAATATATATCTACATAGTTTAGTTCTGTTCTTTTTGAATTTTAGTTTTGTATATACCACAAATACATATTTATATCATAATAATAGATTTTTAATAAAATATTGCATAAATATTTTCTTTATATCACTAAGGTGACAAACAAGCATACGGCCCACTTGATGGTAAGCAGTATATTAACTTATGTATATGAGTTCTGTAACTCATTGTTAACAAATCTGTTATTTTTTCAGGTACCTACAATGAATGCTGTTTGGTCGATTTTCGCTGTATTCATGCTCTTAAATGCAAGTAAGTGCAGTTAATTGTCTTTTATGTAATTTTTTTTATACAACTTATAATGGCAAACAAGCTGGCGGCCCACCTGATGGAAAGTGGTAACCGTCGCCTATAGACATGAGCAGTACCATGGACATAACAGAGTATACTGTTTCGCCCATGATACAGATGATGGAATAGAAATAATAAAAAAAAAACGCAGTAACGTAGCCATAATGCGTTGTTATTTCTGAGGCGCTGGTTTCTCTGAGTTACCGTCGCCGGCGGCGGGCCACCGACATGTGTCCATAGTCGGCAATGTTCGAATATTATGTTCTGGAACTTTCGGGATCGTATTCTCAGAAAAGTCGCCCGCGGCGGGTAGCACAGCGGGCGAAGGTCGTCCGCCGCACGCATCCGTCACTATCATGTTTGTTTAATACCGAAGTGCGTAGCCGTAGTGTCCCGATAATAAAATTATTAGAAATAAATTTCAACAAAGAAAATTACGACTTGTTGATTAATTAAATAAGATTCAATTCTATCTTCTGGGGGGTTAAGAGATTTCTTTATAGGCAACGCGCGCTTAATAACTCTGGTATTGCAGGTGTTCATAGGCTATGGTAACCACTTACTAACAGGAGGGCCGTATGCTTGTTGCTACCTCAGTGGTAAAAAAACACTTAATCGACGCACCCGACAAAAATTATAAAAATAATGTGTTCAAGCAAACAGTATGGGTAATATATAAAATACGTCTCTTCTTTTCTGCGACACAAATAAAAATTCATTATCGTATCGCCCAAAATGAAACATAATTTTAAATTGTTTTTCACAAAATATAATCTTTTCAATCGTGACATTTAAATATTTTGATGTTAAACTACGACCGACCGACGGATGGACCGATTTTGATAAAATTTCAATGGAACTCACCGAACATGAACACATGAACCGATACGACATCATAACATTAAAAAATGAGTATCCTTTTTGGAAGGCCGACAACACATCTGCAATGATTCTGGTGTTGTCGGTGATCATGTGCGGCAGTAGTCAGATACCATTCTTTTTTTTTATGGGTGATAATTGAATGGTAACCCCACCCGCGCTATCGGTATACACGATTGCATTTGTAACTATCTGGAGCAGAACTGGTTCAGATTCGATAAACCGAATTATTCTCAGTCGCTCATCACAATACTGTCCTAATGAGCGGCGCTCTAACAAGCCTTATTCATGCTTTACGTACCAAAATACTATTATATAGCTATGTATACTCGTATTTTTGTACTGAAATATCTATTTTTAAGCGAAATTAAAGGGTATGGTAGTCATAACAGCATAGTTTACCAATGGGAGACTTTGTATAAAAGTCGTTTGCTTGGACACCTCTGTCCTATTCGTGTTTCTACTGTGAAGCAGTTGTGTTTGTATGGCAATGTTTCGGTTTGAAATAAATTTACAAGGTACAGAGGAATAACACCTGAGTCCTCAGGAATGGCAACGCATGGGGGTATCATGTGCGAAACAGTATACTCTGTTATGTCCATGGTACTGCTTAGAATAACATGTACAACTTAGAACGGCAAACAAGCTGATTGACCATCTGATGGAAAGTGGTAACCGTCGCCTATAGACATGAACAGCACCGTGAATATAACAGAGTATTTTGTGTCGCCCTCAATACCCCTCATGCGTTGTAATTCCTGAAGAGTGAGGTGTTATGCCTCTATACGCTGTAATTTTACTGATAAATATAAAGCTATTTATCCACGACAATTTTCAACATTTTTCGTCACATATTTACATTTCTGTTGGTCCAAATGTTAACTGGGAGACAATGCTATATAGTATTAAGTCACAAGATTGGCTACTATTATTATTACCCGAAGTTCTACAACCTTCCATATTAGCCATCAATCTGCGACTGTCATTTCGCCTACGCACGTTTTGCGGCACGTGTTTCACCTCTAAACGAGGCATCTTTAGGCAAGTTAATAGATCGCTTCTCGGAGTTTAGTGTTAACCGTTCGTCACCCAAACTGCGAATGATTCATTTTTGGCCGTGTTGATGAAAATGATGGAAAATTGTAGAACTTCTGATAATAATACTATAAATAGGGGGGAAAGGGATTGTTAGTAATGGAGACTAAAAATCCCATTGCTAGCAATATACCCAACCAGGTCGACCTCTTCGCGGTTCCCTCTGGAAACTATCATGGTTAATTCCTGATGAATTTATCATGATGGGCTAACTGGCCTGTTATCATTCTCATCTATCACCCTACACTGGTGCTCCGCCAGCGTATCCCGTTAGCGCAGGGGTTACCATACCATTTTCACCCATAAAAAAAAATACTATAAATAGCCAACGATCAAGTGTTGGTAATAGCAGTACTAATGGTAGCAGAATTAAAACAAAAAAAAATATTGTAATCAAATAACCAGGGAGAAATGTAGCCGTTTATCATAACTTGGCGCCCAACGTGGGACTCGAATCTACGATCCCGAAGAATGGTATCCATTTTTATTTCGAAACACAATCAACTATTTAAGATACTAGTTTGGAAGATATAAGTATATTTAAACATACGTCTGCGTAGAGTGTAGACATTAGTAATGAATGCATTTTCACTAAACTAACTCGACAAAACTCACCGCTATTTACGGCGAGATATTCCACAAAACCGAGCGAGCTTTTTCACTTAGTTGTAACAAAGGCGTACTAACGAACTCTCGCCAACCGCCAGAACTGCTACGTCGCTCAAAGTTTATCGCTGACACTAGTTTTCTATAGTATGGAATGGATTTTTGCTTTTAAAAAGAACCTGGTTATCTCATTTTATCCAGGAAAGGTAACCATTTAAGTATTCATGAGTGAGAAGATTTACAATTTCAAAAATCGTTTTTTAGTTGTCGAACAACCAGTTATTTAAATAAATTAAAAACCAAACTTCTAAACAGATTTTGATGAAATTTCTATTGAACCAATCTGAAAGTATTTCCTTTGATATAAAATAAAAATCAAATTTGGTTTATAAATGATGGAGTTAAGAGGATTCAAACATAAAAAAATAATTGAATAATAACAAAAAAAAAAATAACTAATAAAAAAACACCTTCTTCCTCTTTTTTGTAATTGGTTAAAAACTGATTTTATTACCCACGTTACTTGTGGGTATTGTAGGAAAGGACAGAGAAACAATTAATATGTTAATATAATATATGACACTAGAAAATCTCGAATTAAAATTTCAAACAGAAATCTCTAAAAATTCATAAAAAAATATAGTTTTTCGACGTTCAGAAATCGAGTCAAAAATGAACATAAGTTATAAAAATAATAAATTTAAAATATTCTACAAACTTATTTTAACTATTGCAGTTTTTTGTCACCGTCTTTCAAATTGAGATATCAGTGTAAAAGAAAAGAACAAAAAATTTCAACAGTTAATAATAATAATAATAATAGAATTTTTATAAATTTTAAAAAGTAATAAAAATTTTATTTCATAACCATGATTGTAACAAACTCAGCACTGGTAATTACAGTAAAAGTAGGTACGAATTCATTTGTACATTTGGATCAGCCTAAACATCTATGTCTGAACTAGGTTATAAAACCTGTATCTCAGACAACAGCGCTCAACTCTCATTATATAGTATAATATTAGTTCAGCTAAATTTTTAGTGCTACTTATAAGTCACTAAGCACCATAATTATTATTTTTAAAACTTATATCCTTATATCTTTTTCCCTCATCTAAAGAAGACTCCCAGATAAAGTTGGAACAATTAACGGAAATAATAAATATGGAAAATTCATTAAATTTCCGTTAATCAATTATACATAAATAAATTGCCGGTGGAACTGAACATTTTCCAGGAACAATTTATAATACTCCAACACTAACTTTGACAGCTGGATGTGCTCGACAATCGTATGGTTGTGTCAGTAAAGGAAGTTTCCAATTTCTTGTCAAGAAAGGGGTGGCTAAGTTATTATAAAAATATTGCTAGCAACTCTACTGTGATTAATATAATGTGAATTCGTTACCATGAGCTATTTGAGCTGACTTCATCTATTACTGGTGCTCTGCCAGCATTTACTAAGTATGTACGAGTAGGTAAGATTTCCATTCTATTATTATCCATTAAAAAAAAAATCAATACATTAATAGAGCAGCAATTTTGGGGATGAAAATGGTGGTGAATTCTTACTCCTTTACACGGAAAGAGACGTATTGTAGATAGATGGAGTAGACAGATTAAAAAAATTCTCATTGAAAAGTCTCGACAATTTATTCTATCTCACTAAAGTGACTCCGACTGAAGGAACGTTGGAATAGAAAGAATTAATGAGTTACTTTCCAATCAATATACAGGGCGAGCTTTCTTGGGATTCCAATTTTAAACTCAGAAGTAATTTGTTTGCGAATTGTCGATGTACTTCCTTTAAATGATTGAATATTTTGTAATTCTAATACAAGTCTCGGTTTATTTCGCTAGAAAAGTAATAATGTTTTATTTAATATAAATAACAATAAGCTAATATTCTTTGTACAATTCTTAGAATTTAAAAATTCTGCTATTACTCATAATATTGTCAAGAGTTTCTGGGCCGCCTTATTTACGTAGGTTGTTTTGAATGTTACTTATTTTTTTTTATATTAACAAAAAAGTAATTAAAAACAATGAAAAATATATATAGAAGAACTATCAAAGAGTTCAGAATTGTGTAACAAAATTAGCGGCCTTACTGCAAAAAATATTTAAGACACGTTTTAACTAAACAGTGTTTAACAAAACTCTGTCTAAATGATTAAATATTATTTAGTCAGAGTATTATGTAGCTTTCTCAAACATACGCTATGTCATCTAACGCAACGAAAAGCAAAGTCGACTTGTGGATTTCCAGTTAGTTTGCTCCTTTAGATTTTGACTCCTTGGCGGCGACTTGCAGTGGCCAATTTGGAAATTCCTTCATAGACTGCGAACCCAACTTGATCGCTGCAGGTACAACCTGATAA